ATACATGTACATAGTACTTCAATCTATCACCTGACCAAACCTACATGTACATATCACCCCAATACCTCGTACCCCAGTATAGTCACTCTGTACCGGTACTCCTTGTATATACCCTCGTTATTGTTATTTTTTTAGTGATACTATTTTATTTGTATCTATTTGTACATTTTCTTACTTTTTAACTGTGTTGTTGGGAAAGGGCTCATAAAGTAAGCATTTCATGGTAAAGTCTACACTTGTTTCATTCAGTGCATGTGACAAATACAATTTGAAATATTATAGTTTAATGTAAACTTCAACTAGTATACCATTTTTATGATTTATGGACAAACTACAGCAACATTTTGTGTTTTATTCTAATAAATTACTATAATTTAATCTGGACGAGAATGTAATTTGGATGCATTTCGGTAATGAAAATTCTTGCCAAAATGTAAAATAAGACACACTGCCATAAACTAGGCATCTTAGTCTTCAGAATGATAATTGACTGTTGCATCATGGTTTTCTAACTCAATTTGCTACTGCCATGGTTAAAACTGGTTTCATTACAATCACCCAGGTGTCAATACGATATACACTACCGGTCAAAAGTTTTAGAACACCTACTCATTCAAGGGTTTTTCTTTATTTTTACTATTTTCTACATTGTAGAATAATAGTGAAGACATCAAAACTATGAAATAACACATAAGGAATCATGTAGTAACCAAAAAAGTGTTTATTTATTTCAGATTCTTCAAATAGCCAACCTTTGCCTTGATAACCGCTTTGCACACTCTTGGCATTCTCTCAACCAGCTTCACCTGGAATGCTATTCCAACAGTCTTGAAGGAGTTCCCACATACACTACCGTTCAAAAGTTTGGGGTCACTTAGAAATGTCCTTGTTTTCCATGAAAACATACATGAAATGAGTTTGAATATGAAATATAGCTAAATGAATAGGAAATGTAGTCATTGACAAGGTTAAAAATAATGATTTTTAATTGAAAGAATAATTGTGTCCTTCAAACTTTGCTTTCGTCAAAGAATCCTCCTTTTGCAGCAATTACAGCCTTGCAGACCTTTGGCATTCTAGTTGTGAATTTGTTGAGGTAATCTGAAGAGATTTCACCCCATGTTTCCTGAAGCACCTCCCACAAGTTGGATTGGCTTGATGGGCACTTCTTACGTACCATACGGTCAAGCTGCTCCCACAACAGCTCAATAGGGTTGAGATCCGGTGACTGTGCTGGCCACTCCATTATAGACAGAATACCAGCTGACTGCTTCTTCCCTAAATAGTTATTGCATAGTTTGGAGCTGTATTTTGGGTCATTGTCCTGTTGTAGGAGGAAATTGGCTCCAATCAAGCGCCATCCAAAGGGTATGGCATGGCGTTGCAAAATGGAGTGATAGCCTTCCTTCTTCAAGATCCCTTTTACCCTGTACAAATCTCCCACTTTACCACCACCAAAGCACCCCCAGACCATCACATTGCCTCCACCATGCTTGACAGATGGCATCAAGCACTCCTCCAGCATCTTTTCATTTGGTCTGTGTCTCACAAATGTTGTTCTTTGTGATCCGAACATCTCAAACTTCGATTCGTCTGTCCATAACACTTTTTTCCAATCTTCCTCTGTCCAGTGTCTGTGTTCTTTTGCCCATCTTAATCTTTTATTTTTATTGGCCAGTCTGAGATATGGCTTTTTCTTTGCAACTCTGCCTAGAAGGTCAGCATCCTGGAGTCGCCTCTTCACTGTTGACGTTGAGACTGGTGTTTTGCGGGTACTATTTAATGAAGTTGCCAGTTGAGGACCTGTGAGGCGTCTGTTTCTCAAACTAGACACTCTAATGTATTTGTCCTCTTGCTCAGTTATGCACCGGGGCCTCCCACTCCTCTTTCTATTCTGGTTAGAGCCAGTTTGCGCTGTTCTGTGAAGGGGAGTAGTACACAGCGTTGTACGAGATCTTCAGTTTCTTGGCAATTTATTGCATGGAATAGCCTTCATTTCTCAGAACAAGAATAGACTGACGAGTTTCAGAAGAAAGTTATTTGTTTCTGGCTATTTTGAGCCTGTAATCGAACCCAAAATTGCTGATGCTGCAGAAACTCAACTAGTCTCAAGAAGGCCAGTTTTATTGCTTCTTTAATCAGCACAACAGTTTTCAGCTGTGCTAACAAAATTGCAAAAGGGTTTTCTAATGATCAATTAGCCTTTTAAAATGATAAACTTGGATTAGCAAACACAACGTGCCATTGGAACACAGGACTGATGGTTGCTGATAATGGGCCTCTGTACGCCTATGTAGATATTCCATTAAAGATCAGCCGTTTCCAGCTACAATAGCCATTTACAACATTAACAATGTCTACACTGTATTTCTGATCAATTTGGTGTTATTTTAATGGACAAAAAATGTGCTTTTCTTTCGAAAACAACAACATTTCTAACTTTTGAACGGTAGTGTATGCTGAGCACTTGTTGGCTGCTTTTCCTTCACTCTGCGGTCTGACTCATCCCAAACCATCTCAATTTGGTTGAGGTCGGGGGATTGTGGAGGCCAGGTCTTCTGATGCAGCAGCCCATCACTCTCCTTCTTGGTAAAATAGCCCTTACACAGCCTGGAGGTGTGTTGAGTCATGAAAAATAAATGATAGTCCCACTAAGCCCAAACCAGATGGGATGGCGTATCGCTGCATAATGCTGTGGTAGCCATGCTGGTTAAGTGTGCCTTGAATTCTAAATAAATCATTGACAGTGTCACCAGCAACGCACCCCCACACCATAACACCTCCTCCTCCATGCTTTATGGTGGGAAATACACATGCGGAGATCATCCGTTCACCCACACCGCGTCTCACAAAGACACAGCGGTTGGAACCAAAAATCTCCAATTTGGACTCCAGACCAAAGGACACATTTCCACCGGTCTAATGTCCATTGCTCGTGTTTCTTGGCCCAAGCAAGTCTCTTCTTATTATTGGTGTCCTTTAGTAGTGGTTTCTTTGCAGCAATTCGACCATGAAGGCCTGATTCACACAGTCTCCTCTGAACAGTTGATGTTGAGATGTGTCTGTTACTTGAACTCTGAAGCATTTATTTGGGCTGCAATTTCTGAGGCTGGTAACTCTAATGAACTTATTCTCTGCAGCAGAGGTAACTCTGGGTCTTCCATTCCTGTGGCAGTCCTCATGAGAGCCAGTTTCATCATAGCACTTGATGGTTTTTGCAACTGCACTTGAAGAAACTTTCAAAGTTCTTGAAATGTTCCGTATTGACTGACCTTCATGTCTTAAAATAATGATGAATTAATGATGAACTGTCATTTCTCTTTGCTTATTTTAGCTGTTCTTGCCATAATATGGACTTGGTCTTTTACCAAATAGGGGTATCTTCTGTATATCCCCACTACCTTGTCACAACACAACAGATTGGCTCAAACGCATTAAGAAGGAAATAAATTCCACGAATTAACTTTTAAGAAGGCACACCTGTTAATTGAAATGCATTCCAGGTGACTACCTCATGAAGCTGGTTGAGAGAATGCCAAGAGTGTGCAAAGCTGTTATCAAGGCAAAGTGTGGGTTTATGAAGAATCTGAAATATAAAATATTTTTTGATTTGTTTAACACTTTTTTGGTTACTACATGATTCCATATGTGTTATTTCATAGTTTTGATGTCTTCACTATTATTCTACAATGTAGAAAATAGTAAAAAATAAAGTAAAACCCTTGAATGAGTAGGTGTTCTAAAACTTTTGACCGGTACTGTACATTGTGATTCTCCAAATTCTATATGTATTGCGATTCGATATTGTCATTTTATTGCGATTCGTGTTTCATACATATTGCTCACCACATGTAGAAGGACGAGAGAGACGTAAAAAATAGTTTTGATCGATCATGGAAATAAAGGGTCTGAAAACAAATTGGCTCCCTATTAAAAAGAAGATTGAGAACAAGCTATGAAGGAAAAATAGTGGCGTTTTGGTACAGGTATAGCAAGCTAGCGCAAAAAAAAGATTGCAATATTGACAAAACAATATATCGTCAACAATAATAGTTCTGTGAGCTTGTGTGGCCTACCACTTCGCGGCGGAGCCATTGTTGCTCCTAGACGTTTCCACTTCACAATAACAGCACTTACAGTTGACCGGGGCAGCTCTAGCAGGACAGAAATTTGACGAACTGACTTGTTGGAAAGGTGGCATCCTATGATGGTGCCATGTTGACAGTCACTGAGCTCTTCAGCAAATCCATTTTACTGGCAATGTTTGTCTATGGAGATTGCTTGGCTGTGTGCTCGATTTTATACACCTGTCAGCAACGGGTGTGGCTGAAATAGCCGAATCAACTAATTTGAAGGGGTGTCCATATACCTTTGTACATGAAGTGTATTTCTTGGTTAACTAGTTAGCTAAAGGTAAACTAATTTGAACAGGTAGCTAGTTAGCTTTCTCTCTCTGAGTCTGGTCTGTATTTGTAATGTACTCAATGACTAGGTTTTGAATTTGGATAGCCTCTTCGCTCCGGGACATTACACAGGTCTCCAGTAGTGAAGAGGCTAGAATTTGGTAGCTGAAGTGGTAACGGTAGAGGGAAAACTGATGAAGTGCGACACGTTATTTTATATTACCAGGAATTAAGACTGCTTTGCTGAACAAGAATGCATTTAGCTAAGGAATATGTTTTATTGAACTGTCAGACAATACCTCTGAATCAGTCGGAGAATAATCAGTGGTTATGCTCGATCAACTGGCATCATGTTAGTTATTTTATTAATAATTTACTGGTCATCTTTATTATGAACATTTTGATCTAGCTACATGCTGATCGTTATATTAACTGCAACTATGCTATGTAAAAAATATATTTATATCTGTGTTTGTATTTACATCCTGCCTTGTACGTATGTTTGTCTATGAGTTGTTCAAAACATTTAAACAATTATGCAATGACTTAGACCTGTGTTTGCTATGTCACCAGGTGGGAGTAAAAGAGAGCTGAAGTATGGCAACAGAGCAGCGAAGCGGGATCCGAGTCACTCATGCAGAGCTTCTATGCAAGGATGTGTGTGGTTATTATGGCAACCCTGCATGGCAGGGCTTTTGCACCAAGTGCTGGTGAGAACGAACCCGCAAAGCAGAGGCTGATAGGCAGGAGACTGGGTAAATGTTTTATTCTCTTTCATAAACATTGGCAACACAAGTCCACCAGAGACAGATCAGTCTTTCTAACTGGGACATATTCAAATGTTAACTTTTTGTTGTTCTCTGCTGTCAGTCCCCACAATGATGCAGGTTCACCCTTCATCTTTTCCAAATTTGAGGAGAAGAGGAATATGGAGAAGGGTCGCAGAGTTAACACGATGCGGAGACTCTTCTGGGGTGGTTTGTCCCCACTTAAACGCCCAGGTGATTCCCCTGCACGTCATCTCAGTTCAGTCATTGAAAATGGTTATAATGTCATTTCCACAACTCTATGAGTATTATAATCTAAAGTGATACGAAGCAACAACACGTTTAGCCAACGCTGTAATAGCTAATCTTATCTGAGACGCCTTATGCCGTTTCAGAGACTTCAGAGGGCCAGGTGGCAGACTTAAAAGACTATCATATCCTTGAGCAGGGGAACATCACCAGCTTCCTGAAGCTGCTGAGGAACCCATCCTCCCAGCGTCTGCAGTCCCGTTGCACCGCTTTCCTCAACACCATGGAGGCTTTCCATGTAAAGTGCTTCCTTCCTCTCTGTTATCACCACTCTGTTACCTCTGCAATTACTTTTCTCTTTCAACTTCTGTTTTTATGTACCTCATAGCTGCCTTTTCTGAAGTTCGAATAAAGCCTCTCACTTATTTCATGTTATTGTTATATTCTCTTTCTCTTTGCTGCAGGACCTGCCAGTGCAGAAGCAGTCTGAACTTGTTCAAGACTTTTACCAGAACATCGCTGTGTATTTCAGTAGTGAGTAATCAGGCCATTTTGCTATTCTGAGCTGCTGTGTGGGTCCACATTTTATGTGAATTATTGTGGGCCTATAATGTTTGTTCACTAAGCTAACACGAAGACAATAATTTAGTTAGTTCTTCAATATCAGTCCCATTGCACTCTGTATTGAACTGAACACTTGGCATACTGACTGATTGTACATAGTCTTGAACATGATGCTGATCATGACCCTATTCCTCAACTTCACATACTTGTTAACTGTGTCTGTTATTGGTAGGTCTATTTGAAGCTCAGGTCTCTCAGATGATAGAGCACATGGAGAATCTGATCATGACACGTCTGCACAAGTGGGTCTTCTGCTGTGACGATGAAGTGAAAGACTTGGCACTCTAGAGGAGGATACGGTCAAACAGCCATGCGTAGCCTTGTCTGAACTCAGTCTAGCATTATTACCAAACCCCCTCCCCTGATCATTATCTATCTAGCATCACCAAGATCTTCCTTAGCAATGTTAAGGACTCATCTACTATTGTGATTCAACTTAGTTCACCATTGTTTTTCATTTAGAATTTAACATTGACAGGTCCTTAAACTGGGTCACCCCCCACACACTGAGAGTGCCTTTTCCTGATGAGAAGCCTGTTGTCAATGATCCCTTTCTGCCTGCTGTAACAGGTGACTGAGATATGTGGTTGTCTCACCTAGCTATCTTAAGATGAATGCACTGTAAGTTGCTCTGGATAAGAGCGTCTGCTAAATGACTAAAATGTAATGTAACAGAAGACAATGTTCCTTTATTTTGATAAAACATGGCACCAGCAACACAGAAATGTCAGTATGAAGAAAGCCAAATAATTAAATTAGTTTGACTAAAACATTTCCAGACCTTTTCAAATTTCTCCTGTGTACTAACTGTGTGACACTCACAATCGCCAGCCATAATTTAGATGGATGCCAAGCGAGCGCCACAGGACAAGCTTACATGCGTGTGTAAGTGCAGGCAGAATGTCTTCTAGGCTCTCTCCACCTCCAATAGTGACCCAGCAAATGCTGACGACTTCCTGTCTGGCCTGATTTACGTGGACTTCCTGTCTGGCCTGATTTACCCACCCCGGCTTCACTCCAACATGCAGTATGTGATCCACTTCGGCCTCCCTCACAGCCTGATGGCAGGAGAGAATGGCTACTACTTCACCAATTTGGTGAGATAATAATATGTACATGCATACACTCGTTGATTGTACATAGACTTCGTGCTGAGATTACGAGTCCTTTTTGGTAATTTTCTCGTTTTGTTCTCAATTTAACGTTGCGCAGTGGCCTTCATTGAGAAGCTGGATGGGCCAGCACTCAATCTTAGCCGAGAGGAGTTTGAGGGGTACATGCTGGGTCGCCATGCTTCCTCCAAGAGGGGCAGTGAGAGATAAAAGATAGCCATGGAGACACAAGACCAACTAGAGGACCTTAAGGGCAGACAGAAGAAGGAGGACCAAGGAATGAACGCCCTCAAAGGGCAGCTACAGCAGTAGGTACAGTCGGTCCAGGCACAGGTAGATGAGGTAACAACCCAGTCTGCTCTGGCACAAGAAAAAATTAAAGTCAGAGTTTTTGCAAAGCCATTCTGTCTCTACTCTAACACAGGCAGATGATGTAAAGACCAGTCAGTGCTATTGCTAGAGGGTCAAGAGTCCAACAACAACACTTGTCTAACAGAGACAGAGTGTTAGCCATATTAAGACTGGGGTACAGTGGGCAACCCCTTGACCCTGGTTCTTAATGCTTGTGTGAGCTTTGTGGGGTAAATATAGGTGAGTTGCAGGTGATCGACAACAATACGTTTTTCTGTAGGACTATAGGAAGCAGCTTAATTGATAACAATTGAGGCACCAAATAATGGCACACATTTTTGGTTCGGTGGGATCCTCACAGACAAACAGACCTCAACATTCCTTGATGCCAACTTTTCACATCAAAATTATTTCTGCTATTTGGTTTCACAGGTCACAAAGTGCTGTCATCGATGTTTACATTCTTGACCTTGTTCAACGTTTAAGGTTCTCTTATTTGTTTGTACATGAGTCACTTTCATAATTACGAGATATGTGCTCTTACATGCTGTCAGAGAAAAGCTATGTCTTGGATGCTGAAGTTTGTCGAATATCAGGACAGTAGGATAGTATTTTTGTAATAATTGAGCACTCACTGGGGTAGTGAGCAGACTTACTGTTGATTGCTGCTATCATATTTGTTAGGTTTATCTTCATTTAGTAATCTAAGTGCCTATGCAAACAACGTGATAAAATAGTAATGAAGATAGATAAACCCTGTAAATAAGAGGTGGCTCAGTCAAAGTAGAATAATTTATTCAATGGTTTGTGATTATGGATTACATGTTACTTTCCAATATTAGACTTAGACTATGTTAAAGGTACAGTTAAAATCCCTTGCATATACCTGTTCTTGTTTAAATGTTAAGGATAAAGCTGATTGTATTCCATGTAATCACTGTTGTGGAGTACCATGTTTACATGTTTTAAATAACGTTTCCAAAGATCATGAAGAAATTGTTAGTGAATGTAGTACAGCAGAACATCTAATAAAATAAAAAATGTATAAGGTAAGTGGACATTATTTTATTCTGTATCTGAGTTCCTCCGGTTGTCTTGAGTATCAGGCCGAGCTGTAAAGCCAATCTGCATTGCTTAACCTAACCAAAAAGCTTATTTTATTCTAAATACATTTTATATGATAGCCATTTTAGCTCTGCCTTCTGTCTTGCAACGAAAACGTAGTCATTTAACAACGTTTGCGACACATAGAAACCGGAAATAGTGACTGCGCCTAAGAATGTTTACTTTTTTGTTATTCACGGACTGGTAGTTGTAGTTCTTGAATTTCCGGACGAGAGAGAATCATGAAGAAATTGTTTCGCTCTCAAGAAAAGGGCGCCATTGAAAGGAGTGATGATTATGTGCTAATTGTAGGGGTGCGCATGGGGCTGGGGATCAGAAATGTCCCGTGCGAGAGAGGCAGGTTGAGGTTTCCAGGGTAAGAGTAGTGAAGAAGTTGTCATATGCTGAGGCAGTGAAGAATTTACATTTTTAGTCATTTAGCAGACGCTCTTATCCAGAGCGACTTACAGTTAGTGAGTGCATACATTTTTCAAACTGGAAACGAACCCACAACCCTGGCGTTGCAAGCGCCATGCTCTACCAACTGAGCTACAGGGGACTGTAATGGAAGATGGGTCGGAATGAATATATTTAAATAGTGGAGTAGGGTGGTGTTAATTATTAATAATATTTTTGAATTTGTGAGTGTAGTGTTAGATGGTAGGGTATTTCTTTATTTTATTTTTGAAGCGAAATTTAAGGGAGTTGGTGGCTAGTAGGTGGCGGTAATGCAACAAATTGGATGCCAACCGCCGTTAAACCTCATCGAAGAAGAAGAAGAAGAAGAAGAAGAAGAATCATGAAGATGACGGAGGAAAACAACGATGGAAATTCGACAATAACAATGGAAGATATCCAAAGTCTTATAAAAAAGAAAGATAATATTGAAGAACAAATTAAAGCTTACTACGACGTTTTGGAAGATGTAAGTTGGTAACGTTACATATGGATACGTTGTTTGTTTACATTTCAGAACAGCTACCGTTAGCGAGCTAACGTTAGCTAGCGAGCTCAAATGTGGTTATTTTTCCCAATATGTTGTAGCTACGTCAATCAATGCTGGTTTTATTCAGTCTGTCTTATATAACGTTAGAAACAACGTGTGTGTGTGTGTGTGTGTGTGTGTGTGTGTGTGTGTGTGTGTGCGCGCGCGCGCGTGCGTGTGCGTGCGTGTGTGCGTGTGTTGTGAGGCTATGATATGACGCAATAAATATGATTTCCCTTCAATCATTTGTGTGTGTTCTCTTTTAGCAAGAGGTTGGAATGGAAGGTCCTCTGGTTGATGCAGAGGGATTCCCTCGCGCAGATGTTAATGTGTACCAGATCAGAACAGCAAGGCACAGTATTTCTTGTAAGAGAGCTTGTAGCACTGCTGTGCAATATAACATGTTTTAACTGACACATTACTTGACAACAGTCAGACAAACTATTTACAGTGTAGTGTGTAAGCGGTTCCCTTGTTCATGTGTGCTACTGCCTACTGGATTTTTTTCTGCTAACTATGGCCACCTTGTCAATGTGGCAGGTCTACAGAATGATCACAAAGCCATTATGGTGGAAATCGAAGAGGCCCTGCACAGGCTTCATGCTCTAGAGAAGGCGAAGCGTGAGCAGGACCAGGCAGAATCCCAGACTGAGTCCATGGAGCAGGAGGTCACCCTGCCCTCTCCCTTCGCCCGTGTGGATGCTGTCTCACAAGGCTCCCCTGCCTGTCAGGCTGTGAGTGTTTAAGGTTTCTAGATTTACCTAACACATATATAGAATGTGTTTACCCAAAGACATTGTTATTTACTTAGTGTGTTTGTTTGGGGTTATTTAAGAGTGGTTTTGTTTTCAGTTGTGATAAGTTGATGTTTTTCCTCATAGGGCTTGAGAGTTAGTGATGAAATCATAGCATTTGGATCCATCAACACAGGGAACTTCCAGAACCTGCAGAATATTGCCTCGGTGGTTCAGCATAGTGAAGGGGTATGTTACTCTGTGATCAGAATAATCATGTTATAACCACTTGTATTTAATTGTTCATATGCCAAATGACCTCATCATTGGGGGGGGGGGGTAACATGTGCCATTATGACAGCAATATGAAATGCAGTCACTACAGTGATAACTTACCAGGCATGAAATGTTGTATTTTCTGTTCCTTAGAAACCATTAAGCGTTACAGTGATTCGAAATGGCCAGAAGACCCAAATGGGCCTTACCCCACAGCGGTGGTCAGGCAGAGGTTTACTGGGGTGAGTGTCCTACCTATTGAGCTGGAGATTAGACTGATTACTATTTGATCTAACTTTACTGTGGTTCACATTTAAAATACATGCCATGCCAAGATGCATATCATATACAGTGTCTTTTTTTAAAGTATTCATACAACTTGACTTTTTCCACATGTTGCTGTGTTACAGCCTGAATTTAAAATTGATTATTGTGATTTTGTGTCACTGGCTTACACACAATACCCCATAATGTCAAAGTGGAATTGTGTTTTTAGATTATTTTTTTGAAATTCATTAAATGAAAAGCTAAAATGTCTTGAGTTAATAAGTATTCAACCCCTTTGTTAAGGCAAGCCTAAATAAGTTCAGGAGTAAAAATGGGCTTAACATGTCACATAATAAGTTGCATGGACTCCCTCTGTATGCAATAATAGTGTTTAACATGATTTCAGAATGACTACCTTTCTCTGTACCCCACACATACAATTATCTGAATTTCAAACACAGATTAAGCAACAGAGACCATGGAAGTTTCCCAGTGCCTTGCAAAGAAGGGCACCTATTGGCAGTGGTGGAAAAAGTACCCAACTGTCATACTTGAGTAAAGGTAAAGATACCTTAATAGAAAATGACTCAAGTAAAATTAAAATTCACCCAGTAAAATTCTAATTGAGTAAAAGTTTAAAAGAATTTGGTTTAAAATATACTTGAGTATCAAAAGTAAAAGTATAAATCATTTCAAATTCCTTATATTAAGCAAACCAGATGGGACCATGTTCTTGTTTTTTAAATAACGGAAAGCCAGGGGCACACTCCAACATTCAGACATAATTTACAAACGAAGCATGTGTGTGTAGTGAGTCCACCAGATCAGAGGCAGTAGGGATGACCAGGGATGTTCGGTTGATAAGTGTGTGAATTTGACTATTTTCCTGTCCTGCTAAGCATTCAAAATGTAATGAGTACTTTTGGGTGTCAAGGAAAATGTATGGAGTAAAAAGTACCATATTTACTTAAGGAATGTAGTAAAGTAAAAGGAGTCATAGTAAAGTACAGATACCAACAACAAAAAAACATAAGTAATACTTTGAAGTATTTTTACTTAAGTACTTTAAACCACTGCCTAAAAAAAAAAACATACATTGAATATCCCTTTGAGCATGGTGATGTTATTAATTACACTTTGGATGGTGTATCAATACACGCAGTCCCTACAAAGATACAGGAATCCTTTCTAACTCAGTTGCCAGAGAGGAAGGAAACCGCTTAGGGATTTCATCATTAGGCCATTGGTGACTTTAAAACAGTTGCAGAGTTTAATGGCTCTAATAGGAGAACTGAGGATGGATCAACAACATTGTAGTTACTGCACAATACTAACCTAAATGACAGAGTGAAAAGAAGCAATAATGTACAGAATAAAAATATTCCAAAACATGTATCCTGTTTGCATTAAGGTACTCAAATGAAACTGCAAGATTGGCAAATATATGAACTTTATGTCCTGAATACAAAGTGTGGAGTTTTGTTTTGAAAATGGCTCTTTTTTTATTTTTAAAAGAATAATGTGCAAATATTGTACAATATATTATCATTATGGGGTATTGTGTGTAGATGGGCGAGGAAAAATTATTTCATCAATTTTGAATTCAGGCACATGCAAAAGCAAAACAAACATCAATTAAATTAAAAATATGAATGACTACATTTACATTTTTTGTCATTTAGCAGACGCTCTTATCCAAAGCGACTTACAGTTAGTGAGTGCATACATTTTCATACTGGCCCCCCGTGGGAAACGAACCCACAACCCTGGCGTTGCAAGCGCCATGCTCTACCAACTGAGCTACAGGGGACTACAAAGTTCTGAGTACTTTAAGCCTCCAACACATGGAGCGACAGTCTATAGCACAAGGCTTGAGCAGAGGGATGTGCAGGTGGCCAACAGGAGGACCTGAGCAGACAGATCAGGTCGTCTGGGGGTAGGCAGGTAGCTCAAGGTGTCTCGCCGTCTGTGTCTTCTCCGTAGCGGTAGGACACTTGTAGAACGAGATGTAGTTTGTATTTTAGCTCCCCAGGCACTCACTCAGGATACAGTCCACTCATAACTTTGGAGGAATACTCTTGAGCAATTAATTCCTCACTGCCACTTCGTTGTAGTCCCCCTCTTCGATCAAGGAGACCATAGAAACCGCCCAATGTAGGCCGATGTATTAAAATCAAAACCGCTAGCTAGCATTGTTAGCTAAATTATAATTAATAATTTATTACATTTCTATAGTGCATTTCATAGAATCTCAAACCGATTCAAGAACAAAAAAACTACAAGCAATATTATATGACCGGTCAACTAATAGAGGCAAAGTCTTTGAAAGCTGCATCCTCCGAAGATGGAGAGGGTCAGTTTATGGCTTGAGCGGAGGGAGCTGGTCAGAGAATGGTAGATGATGGTGATTGAGTCTGCTGAAGATCTTGTAGAGGGCAAGTCTGAGAACCAGCCTGACTCTTATATCCACTGGACTTCTCCTCTTCCACTCTGTGTAGCACCCACTTGGGTGATGCCCCAGAAGCTCTGGGTACCAGAAAGCTCACCACACAGTTCAGATTAGTAGCCAGTCGTCCTCATTACGAGCCCTCTGCCTCAGCACTGCTGTATTCCTCTATCTCCCATTCCTCTCACGCTTCAGGCGAATGAGCTAGCTATCTTGAAAAGCTGGTTTGCCATTCATTCTTGGGCAGGATTTGATTTGATTTTATCCAAACTAAATCTATACTAATTTGGCTATTCAAAAATAAAGTAAAATAATTCATACCACTTTTGTAAAACTATATATATACAGGAGCTCTCTGCATAGGCTGCCAATAGGGTGCCATGACAACTGTAGAAGATAAACTATTGACTGCTTATTAATTGTTTTCCCAACAGATGCAACATTGTGCCCATCCACAGATGATAAGGACCATGTGACCAGCAAGATCGTAAGGGGTCAACTTTACCACCAGCCTTACTCTGTTATGCCACTGGATGGCTATGAGTAAAGGAATTGTTTGAGCCCATAAATTAGAAGACTGACATTTTCAATTGATTCAATGTCAATTTCATGTTCTAATAAAAAGCATTAACATAATTTTATATGTGAGTTTACATATTGCTTTCAGTGTGAAAAGATTAAAACATTTCTTCGGCTGACATTTCCATTTGCCCAACTCCTCACCTGATTTAACAGCTCAAGTAAAACAAATTTTTAAAACATTGACACATGAAAAAAGCATAATCAGTGTAATATTTAATTCATTTTTGATATTAGAGACATTTACAATTTCCACAAAGCCTAAGCAATTTAGCTTGGGGAGACATTGTAATTTTTCTGATTTCAGGCAAAGTTACTCAACAATAGGCAAGGTTACTGGTTAGTTGTTCACATGACGAGTAACCTTGCCTGATACCCTTAGCCGCAGGAAGTATGGGTAATGAGGATACTGAAGCATCCCCTGAAAAATAAGAATGCAATATATATATACAGTGGGGAGAACAAGTATTTGATACACTGCCGATTTTGCAGGTTTTCCTACTTACAAAGCATGTAGAGGTCTGTAATTTCTATCATAGGTACACTTCAACTGTGAGAGACGGAATCTAAAACAAAAATCCAGAAAATCACATTGTATGATTTTTAAGTAATTAATTTGCATTTTATTGCATGACATAAGTATTTGATCACCTACCAACCAGTAAGAATTCCGGCTCTCACAGACCTGTTAGTTTTTCTTTAAGAAGCCCTCCTGTTCTCCACTCATTACCTGTATTAACTGCACCTGTTTGAACTCGTTACCTGTATAAAAGACACCTGTCCACACACTCAATCAAACAGACTCCAACCTCTCCACAATGGCCAAGACCAGATAGCTGTGTAAGGACATCAGGGATAAAATTGTAGACCTGCACAAGGCTGGGATGGGCTACAGGACAATAGGCAAGCAGCTTGGTGAGAAGGCAACAACTGTTGGCGCAATTATTAGAAAATGGAAGAAGTTCAAGATGACGGTCAATCACCCTCGGTCTGGGGCTCCATGCAAGATCTCACCTCATGGGGCATCAATGATCATGAGGAAGGTGAGGGATCAGCCCAGAACTACATGGCAGGACCTGGTCAATGACCTGAAGAGAGCTGGGACCACAGTCTCAAAGAAAACCATTAGTAACACACTACGCCGTCATGGATTAAAATCCTGCAGCGCACGCAAGGTCCCCCTGCTCAAGCCAGCACATGTCCAGGCCCGTCTGAAGTTTGCCAATGACCATCTGGGTGATTCAGAGGAGGAATGGGAGAAGGTCATGAGACAAAAATAGAAAACCTGAAGGATCTGGAGAAGGTCTGTATGGAGGAGTGGGCCAAAATCCCTGCTGCAGTGTGTGCAAACCTGGTCAAGACCTACAGGAAATGTATGATCTCTGTAATTGCAAACAAAGGTTTATGTACCAAATATTAAGTTCTGCTTTTCTGATGTATCAAATACTTATGTCATGCAATAAAATGAAAATTAATTACTTAAAAATCATACAATGTGATTTTTTGGATTTTAGATTCCGTCTCTCACAGTTGAAGTGTACCTATGATAAAAATTACAGACCTCTACATGCTTTGTAAGTAGGAAAACCTGCAAAATCGGCAGTGTATCAAATACTTGTTCTCCCCACTGTATATATATATATATATATATATATATAAATATATATTTATATATATATTTTTTTTCTCTCACAAAAGTAGTGCACTGGGCCTTTAATAGTCCTGTATTAGCGGACCAATATAGCCTTCTGAGACCTGAAGAGTTGCATTGGGTCCCCACCGTCTAAAGGGAATCTACAGTGAGGGAAAAAAGTATTTGATCCCCCGCTGATTTTGTACGTTTGCCCACTGACAAAGAAATGATCAGTCTATAATTTTAATGGTAGGTTTATTTGAACAGTGAGAGACAGAATAACAACAACAAAATCCAGAAAAACGCATGTCAAAAATGTTATAAATTGATTTGCATTTTAATGAGGGAAATAAGTATTTGACCCCTCTGCAAAACATGACTTAGTACTTGGTGGCGAAACCCTTGTTGGCAATCACAGAGGTCAGACGTTTCTTGTAGTTGGCCACCAGGTTTGCACACATCTCAGGAGGGATTTTGTTCCACTCCTCTTTGCAGATCTTCTCCATGTCATTAAGGTTTCGAGGCTGACGTTTGGCAACTGGAACCTTCAGCTCCCTCCACAGATTTTTTTATGGGATTAAGGTCTGGAGACTGGCTACTCCAGGACCTTAATGTGCTTCTTCTTGAGCCACTCCTTTGTTGCCTTGGCCGTGTGTTTTGGGTCATTGTCATGCTGGAATACCCATCCACGACCCATTTTCAATGCCCTGGCTGAGGGAAGGAGGTTCTCACCCAATATTTGACGGTACATGGCCCCGTCCATCGTCCCTTTGATGCGGTGAAGTTGTCCTGTCCCCTTAGCAGAAAAACACCCCCAAAGCATAATGTTTCCACCTCCATGTTTGATGTTGGGGATGGTGTTCTTGGGGTCATAGGCAGCATTCCTCCTCCTCCAAACAGGGCGAGTTGAGTTGATGCCAAAGAGCTCCATTTTGGTCTCATCTGACCACAACACTTTCACCCAGTTCTCCTCTGAATCATTCAGATGTTCATTGGCAAACTTCAGACGGGCATGTATATGTGCTTTTTTGAGTAGGGGGACCTTGCGGGCGCTGCAGGATTTCAGTCCTTCACGGCGTAGTGTGTTACCAATTGTTTTCTTGGTGACAATGGTCCCAGCTGCCTTGAGATCATTGACAAGATCCTCCCATGTAGTTCTAGGCTGATTCCTCACCGTTCTCATGATCATTGCAACTCCACGAGGTGAGATCTTGCATGGAGCCCCAGGCCGAGGGAGATTGACAGTTCTTTTGTGTTTCTTCCATTTGCGAATAATTGCACCAACTGTTGTCACCTTCTCACCAAGCTGCTTGGTGATGGTCTTGTAGCCCATTCCAGCCTTGTGTAGGTCTACAATCTTGTCCCTGACATCCTTGGAGAGCTCTTTGGTCTTGGCCATGGTGGAGAGTTTGGAGTCTGGTTGATTGATTGCTTCTGTGGACAGGTGTCTTTTATACAGGTAACAAGCTGAGATTAGGAGCACTCCCTTTAAGAGTGTACTCCTAATCTCAGCTCGTTACCTGTATAAAAGACACCTGGGAGCCAGAAATCTTTCTGATTGAGAGGGGGTCAAATACTTATTTCCCTCATTAAAATGCAAATTAATTTATAGCATTTTTGACATGTGTTTTTCTGGATTATTTTGTTGTTATTCTGTCTCTCACTGTTCAAATAAACCTACCATTAAAATTATAGACTGATCATTTCTTTGTCAGTGGGCAAACGTACAAAATCAGCAGGGGATCAAATACTTTTTTCCATCACTGTATGCAGCTGTATCGCCTTGGAACGGTTCATACATAAAACATTCTCCATTCAGGCTCCAAAGGCATCGATTTCCTCCTTAACTTGATTTAATGGTGAGAAGGCAGGAAGATATGCATACTTTCTTTATGAAACACCATTTTCTACCACCATGCTATGGTGGCTGATGCTACTTCCTGACATTGCGTACAGCCAGCATTCAGACCAAAGCATAAACAACAGACTGCTGCAACCTGATTGGCTGAACGTGATATCAACATCCGGACTAGCATTTATCTACTAGCATTGTGGTGGAAAATAGTGTTTCATAAAGAAAGTACGCATATTTTCCCCGTTTTATTCTGCCTTCTGTTTGAACCGGTCAACGGGGGATACAAGTGTATCGCAGGCTGCATAGATTCCCTTTGGACGGTAGGACCGACTCAATATCACCATCTGCTGGCCTTTGGGCTACTAGCAAGCTAGCTAATTCATTATTGAACAGTCATAACTTGCTAATGTTAGTAGAAGTAGAACCTAAGTAGGCTTCAAATACATGTTGAAAATAGCTAAGGGTAGTAAACAGATTGGGGGCGTAATATGAGATGTATACAGTGCATTCGGAAAATATTCAGACCCCTTGACTTTTTCCACTTTTTGTGCCTTATTCTAAAATGGATTAAATTGTTTTCCCCCTCATCAATCTACACACAATAACCCATAATAACAAAGCAAAAACAGGTTTTTTAATTTTTTTGCAACTGTATTAAAAATACAAAACTGAAATATCACAGTACTTTGTTGAAGTCTTCTCGGGTACAAGCTTGGCACACCTGTATTTGGGGAGTTTCTCCCATTCTTCCCTGCAGATCCTCTCAAGCTCTGCCTCCATATAACTCTTACAGAATTTCCACGTGGACGAGGATATTGGACATTTAATCAAAGCCTACTGGATGTTCTTTTTTCTTTACCACCCTTTTTCTCCCCAATTTCGATCTTGTCTCATCGCTGCAACTCCACAACGGGCGAGGCGAAGGTGGAGAGTCATGCGTCGTCCGAAACATTACCCGCCTAACCGTGCTCCTTAACACCTGCCAGCTTAACCAGGAAGCCAGCCGCACCAATGTGTCTGAGGAAACACCTTTCAATAGCCGACCGGGGTCAGCCTGCAGGCACAAGAAGTTGCTAGGGCGCGATGAGCCAAGTAAATGGCAGGTAGATGGTAATGGAAACGGTACTATAGAGGCACAAAATAGGTTAGAGGAAAAACAAAAATAATTGGAGGAACTTATTCAAGAACGTTCAAGTGTAGTTTATTACAAAAATAAAGCAAATTGGATGGAAAATGGTTAAACATGCACAACATTTTTATTGTATCTTCAACATAGAAATGCTACAAAAAAGAATTTACAGAAACTCGTTACAAATGATTGAGTCATTCATGATTCATCAAATTATATTTTGAAAGAAGAAGCAAAATATTTTAAGCAAATGTTTTCTTTTCAGACTCCTCCATCTCCACTGAAGGATGTTAACTGTAAGGATTTCTTTCATAATAATAATGTAAAATTAACAAATGTACAGAAAGACCTGTGTGAAAGGCAACTTACAGAGGAGGAACTTTTTGAGGCAATAAAAATATTTTCAGTCTGGAAAAACACCAGGGCTTGATGGTATACCA